AATATAATATAAATAAAATAGCTTCTAAAGAACACTAAGTAGCATCAGAGGCCACACTCTTAGAAACATGAGTGGTCAAGTCTCACAGCTTTTGGCCTGCTTTGTCTTAATAGAGATGCACACCACCACTTTGATGATACAGACTGCGGTCTGTTAACAAAACCTTACTCAACAGGGAAGCTTGGCTGTCAATATCTTAGAGGCTTCCAATTAGATTCAGAGATCTAATATATTGTTTAATGAAATCTTAGGCTATTTTTATATACTTCTTTGCTTTTATTACAGTAAAAAATGGTAACCATGAAGACCAGATGAGCCATTTCCAAATCTGTAGTGTTTATTTTAGGGACACATGTTATTCATCTACTTTCTTCCAGTCTTTACCATCCCTAATAATGAAATGCCAGCTTAAAAAGTAAAAACTAGGATAAAAGAAAAATACAGGTATTTTTATGATGTATGATTTAACACATAATGTTTAGAACTGAAAAATATCTTTATTTTTAACATTGTATATGCATATCTACATATTTTGATGGACTACTTGTGGCAGCCTAAAAAGAAATTAAATGAACCAATATCAAACATGAGAAGCAATCCCTAAAATAGACAGGCTTTTATATGCCATAAAGTGCCTTCTAATCCAAAAATTCTTCAGTAGTAAAGACTGAAAATTAGTTGATAACTAATGCAAACTGATGCAAAGACTAAGAGGAGCACTCATAGCCTGTTCTCTGTTATACAACAGTGCCTAACTCATGCTATCATATTTACAATATTTTAGCTTGAAACAAAACCACTACAAATAACATCTTCATAGAATTGTTACATTCAGATAGCGCCCAAGTGATATTCACAGTTTCAAAGAATGGAGACAAAGTCATCTAAATTTGAAAATCAGGTATCATGTATTTTCTCCTGTTAGTTTTGCATTTACAATATATGACTAAGTTTTTAGTACTCACAGGCTTACCATCTGGACCAGGCTGACCAGGATAACCATGATTCCCAGGCTGCCCAGGGTCACCCTATGGAGAAGCAAGTATGTTAACACACAAAAGATATGAAAAAGCATTTTAAAATTAGCACAGAGCAACCTTAACCCTAATAAATTCCACAAAACAGTGGCTGCAAGCCCTAATACCTGCTATTGAGGAGTAACTCCTACAGCAAAAAAGAATTGATCTTGTAACTCCCTCTCTGGGAAAATTCCCCCTAACTTCTTGTGCAGGACTTAGAGGAGTGAGCTCACACTCAGTTACAGCACAGATTTGGCCCATCACCTCAAATGCTTTCAAGCTTTTTAACATCAGAGCAGAAATAAAAACACTGTTGACCAAACAGATGAAAAAATATTTACTAAACCCTTGTTAATCTTGTAGTTCTACTCTGAAGAAAACTCTCATCTGCTTTGGCTGAGTCTAGTTCTTAAAGCAAAAGCACTGGAAAGGCAGGAATCAGGATTAAAACCTGCTAAATACTAAACTCTTCTCCACATACTTATTTCTCTCTAAAAAAAGTATAATCTATTCGATTTCTTCTTATAAGCCTTTTGCAATTATTTCAATAACCTCTGTTATGACCATGTTAAAGGAAAAGAAAACCAGTTCCCCAGGCTTCGTGTTTATGGTAAGAAAGCAGGAATTTAATTTCCACTTCAATATATACTGTGAGTGTATCAAAGTTCTCTGTTTATTTTACTAACAGACTTGATTTAAGCCCAGCAAAATCCAATAAGAGTTGATCTATGGAAACATTTTACTTCTACAGGAGTATTAAGCAGGTACCATGTTCTTCAACCTGAACCATCAACAGACCTGCGGGTCAGTTACAGCTGCAGAATTGTTATAAACAGGATACAAAACTAGCTTTCAATGTGACTGTGAAAAAAAAAATCTTTTCACATATAAACCACAGCAATGTAATGCTGAACTAAATGGAAAAAGGATATGCAATAATGTCTCTTTAAAACAGCATAATAAATTAACCAGAATTATTACTGTTCAAATTAAGAAGTCCAGGTTTGAGAGTAGAGCAGAAATAAATTTGCTTTCAAATATACTAAACTATGAAATTTTATGCCTTTAACTTGAAAACATTAAAATATCAGCTACTTGTATTTTTAAATTGTTTTAATTTAATTAATTTTATTGTACTCCATTAGTGTCACAAACACACAAATTAAGCTTAAATTTAAACAGTTCCTAAGTCAGGTATTCAGGTATACTGTTAAGATAACCTATACAATTTTAAATTTGCTTCCTTTTCACTCTTGCTGCAGACTTTTGTGTTGGGCACCATCTTGTAACCTGTATTATTCAGTTATCCCCCAAAAATTAATATACTGCAATAAAACTGAAAGACTGCACACAAAGCAGCGATTTAAATAAAATTCTATAGGTCACCCTAATTCTGAAATTTTAAACTCTTCATACTTTACAGGACGTAGCTCTAACTGTGGCTTTAAGTTTTTTTAAATGATAAACTTAACTTTCTTTTTTTCTCTAATATGCTAAAGAGAAAAGAGAAGGTAAAAGACCACAAAAAATCCATCATATGAAATAATCTCCATCTTTGTGGACTCCAATTCCCTGATTATAGAAACCCTTACCATTGTAGCAAAAAGCCCTCTGACATGATGTTGCTGCGGCAGATTGTTAACCCCTTAGATGATGAGTAGAGGGTTTTTTTAATAATTTGTCTAATGAAAGTGGTTTGGCAATTTCCTGTCCACCCTTATAAGGCAAGCACCTTCTGGAAGCACTACTTGGTACAGTTATTGAGAAAGATACTACAGAAAAATTCTAGGGATTTCAGTTTGCCACGATAGACATCTGACACTCAAGTCTGTTTCTAAATCCTTCATCAACTCTGAAGGTGATCATCAGAAGAGCTAAGGTGGAACTCTCCCAGGAAGCATCTAGTCCATTCTTTAACAAAGAAGGAAAAAACCTGCTCCATTAAGACTTCTGTTAGCAAACCATCACATTCTCAAACATTTAACAGTGAAAGATCATTTTTCTGAAGAACGGCAAGGAAACACGATTTTTAATCCATGAACATTTTCCTTAAAAAATAGGATACATTTGTGTTACTAGGATTTATGGCACTAAAACACACCCTTGAGGATTCTAATCACTAAATTCATGCACTGAAAACCAGAACCAGGAGAATTTGTCCCCTACTTTTTTAATCTGTCTGACTATGACTGGCCAAGACAGATTGGATCAAAAAAAAAGGGAAAAAAGAAAGTCATGTATGCTCAGTAAGACAGAATGGAGACTTACTTTGGGGCCTGGCGGTCCTTGTTTTCCTGGAGGGCATATGCAGGGGGCAGGTGTTGAGCCTACATCACTAGGACCATTCATGCACTACCAAGAGTGAAACCAATCATCAATACGCATGCCAAAAGCATTCAACAAACGTATCATAACATTATATGAAGCTGATTTTTTTCAGTTGTGTAGGTCCTGCCTCCATCTCCTTTGTCCAGCTGGAACTTCTGCTTACCTGAATACTGCCCTGAATTTGCATGCACGAATTCATCATCTTATCCAGAAGAAAAACAGATAAAAAAATTAAGTACTGATACTGGGCTGATATCTGAAACTCTATTTGCTTTTCCACAAAAATTATGCCACCTAGTTTGATAATTTTAAATCTGGCAACATGCAAGACTCTTCTCCTAAACTAACTGATATTAATCACTTGAAGTGTGATCAGTTATCAAATATAACTATTTAACTGAAGTTTGTAAAAAGAATCTAATAAATATTACGTGAATCATAATGACCACAACTGATGGGCATGCTATCATGTGTAGCAAGCTTGAAAAAATCTTAAAGCCGAAGTCTCCTACCTCCTGGGCATGTGTCCCAGCTAAGAAGTTACCTGAGGAAAGGTGGGGCATGGCTGCTATGACCAACTCCTGCAAGTCACTAGCCCTGGCCCCCAGAGTACCCATCTTCCAAAGACCACTAGGTGTCCTTCTCCAAACCACGGTCCCTACACAAACAGCAGTTTTTGGCAGACCAAATCACCTTCTGGAGGTATTTTTTATTATTTTTTTAGGTATTTACTTCTCACCACTGAGACCAAATGAAACCTCAGTGTTTTGCCACGGCAGGCAAGGGGAGCGCTATGAGATCAAATCCCATCTGCCCCAGGTCAGGCACCCAAATTTACATGCATCTGTACTAAATTTATATGCTGAGGCTAGATTCAGCTGCTTTTTTTTTTTTCACCAGCAAATTCTTAGAGCTATGGAAAGGCAAAATTTGAGAACACAAGATACAAAAAAAGCAGACTTTTTTTTTATTATCTAAAACACTTTCTAGAACATTTTAATCATATTTTCTAAAATAATGCAAATATTTTATAATGCTCTCTGAATGTAATTCTTTCTCAGGGTCAAATGATTGATCAAAACACAAATCCAAGTTTTGTCTGCAACAGAACCAAGTGGAAGCTGGGTGACCAAGAGGATGTTTAGGGAAACCATCACGTTAAGCCTCCAAACAAGCTCCCCTTCAGAGAGCTCCCATTAGCATGATGCAGGTAGCAGCTACCTGACCGTGCATATCCCCATTCATTTTGCAGCAGCATCAACCCTTGCAAATAAGAGAAATTTAATTGAACTGGAAAAAAAAATCAGGTCATTTATTCTAATAAACATGGGTTGCTTGAGAAAACTGATTTTTAATTTGTCTGTTGACTAGAGTTCAATTAATGAAAATCCAGCGCTTTGAAGCTTAGCAAACCTCTGTCCTCTTTTCAAAACAATGTGTAAATTCCCTAGAATGAGAAGTTTATATAAAGTCAAATACTACCTTAAATTGAGTTTGAGCAGTTTATGATTGAGCCTACCTCTCCATTCTGAAACAAGAAGAAACACAATTTAAGAGTACAGCAATATTTGTAATAAGCAAAATCCATTCATTTGTAAACACTACCAAAACCAATCATAAATTTAGGGCTGTAGCTGTCAAGGAATTATAATTCATAATTTTAGGCTCAGACTTAAACGCAGCTGCTATCAATATATATGAATTTCATTTCATTTAAGGGTCTTTCAACAGCAGCTACCAGTAGCAATTTTTAAAAGGCAATGACAAAACTAGCATTAATACCGAACCATGTAAATATTCGCACACTAAATGTTTAGATTTGGGTCAAACCTCCTGTCAGGAGTAACTTTACATTTAAAAAAAAAAAAAAAAAAAATCCTCTGCTTACTCATTCATGTCAGAGAATGTACCAAAATATTTCTAAAATCTCTGATCTCTGCTTAAATCCTGCATCTGGGAAAACACAGAGCAGCACAGAGGCAAGGCTGGCTTTTTCTCATGTTCCTGTGTGACTGTGTTAGACTCTGCTATTAGCTGAAGAGCATTTTCCAATACCTGCACCACAGAACAATCCATCCCCAAATATTTCAGCATGCCAACCATGAAATTGTTTGTCTTAATGGTTTAGTAGGCACCATTAGCTGCACCATATACGGGAGCTTTCTAATGCACACAGTCACCACAGACTTCATACACAGTCTTACGGAGAGAGACAGCTTCCTCTATATTCAATTTTCATCTTAGGCAACCTCTAGAGAAGGTTATCTTCCTCCACAGATCATGCAGGGAGTTTAAAATTACTGTGCAGCCATTTATCTCCAGGAAAGGGGATGAATTCAGGCTGCTTAGTTCAGGAGCTTTGACCCAACCACAGTCTGACAGAATACAACCACAAACCACATATTCCTCCTTGGAGATCATCCAACATTTCTCTTTTCTGGAGTCCAGAATTTCATGGGTAAAGTCCAAATTTAATTCACAACAGCAAGTGAAACTAAACTGGCAAAAAGCGATCTTTTTGCTTGGACTTCTCACCAAATCACAGAGAATGCAAGACTTTTTAGTGTTTGCTTTCTTTACACAAAAATTTCTTTCATTTGTTTAGTTTTATAGCCTACTTCTATTTTGTAAAGAATAAAAAGATGGAGTGGTACAGTTAAATAGCTAAATACTAAATTTACTTCAGGATTTAAAGCTAACTTTACAAAAGCATTCCTGGACCCATTAGTTCTTGACACACACAGTCAGATTTCAGAACAGCTAATAATCCAGCCACCTACTTGTTACTTAAATGAAAGCAGCAAGTTTTGAAAAGCCCTAATAAGGGTGCTGACTGCAACAGACACAAATAAATAGAAGAAAAACAGACTAGCTGGGTGTCTGGGAAAGTCTGACAAAAAAATAATGCATCTGGATTTTGAAGATTCACAGGTTCTATTGTCAAACTGGCTAAATGGTCCTAATGCTAAATAAAATCACAACATGAAGAATATGGATTTACAAAGTAAGACACTGGTGTCTGGTTATCTTTAGCCTAGTTTGTTTTAGGCACCGAACAAAAGAGGACAATTTGAATGAAACTGTACATAGAAAATAATTTCTTGATTATACTTTGAGATGGGAGCCGAATACTTTTGAAAATCTGGTTCAAACTCTGTGTCATGAATGGTTTGCAAATCTGTTTGCACGTGTTTCATATTTCATTGTACAATTAATTGCAAGAAAGAGGGCAACCAAAGGGTCAATGGATCCCCATAAGCTTCCTAATTGGGTACATGAATCATAAAATCCTGATTTTATTTTTGTCCTAATATTCTTCATGAAATTTTGGCAACTTTTCAGTTAATGGGATATTTATAGATACTTCTGATAGGAAAAAGTGATTTAAAAATATAGGTTTTTTGGTTATGTTAAAAAATTTCAGGTATTAGATTACCTGACAAGTAGCAAGAAGTATATCAGGTAAGTTAAAAAGTAATATTTAAAGTACTTCACACTGGTGTAACCTAGTAGTTTTATTAACTTATAGTGTTTAAAATCTTAAACGGTAACAGAAAATTCCAAGATTCTTCTATACTGCGGTCAAATTCTAACCATCAAATATCTAAGTTAAAAAAGCTCCAAAAATACATTTGTGCAAAAATAATGCTGAAAGCACTCAAGTTCTGCATCACTTGATATTGCACATGTAACAAGCATTTGTTTGCACTAGCTGAACCAATATACTATTACTTATTTTAAGAATTCAGTGACTCAGCATTAAACAGTGATTTGTAAAGAATGACAAGTAGTCCTCAAAAGTTCATCTATCATACTCACAAATCCCGAGATCTCACAGATTGTTTCTCGATTATTTTGCTCTGGGTCACAGTAGATTCGCAGTTTTTGTATATCAAACTATAATTCAAAACATAAAAGACATTTTTTAGAGAAACTATTCATAATCTGACATTGTTAGTTTAAACTATACTCTTCTTAAACTGTATCTTCCACAAGTATAGAACAAATAAGCAAAATATTAAAAAGCAAGAGAAATTGGAAACTGTGTGTTTCCTACTGTTAAAAATCAAAGATGCAGAAACATCTTTTGTCAGACTACTCACAAGGATTACTACATGCAACTAATTAAACATTCTGTAACAGAATTACTTAAAGAAAAATAATCAGTCCAAGATTTTTGTTTCTAAAATAATAGAAATCACCCCCCTAATCCTTGGCAATAAATCTAAACATGCACAGCACGAATTACACTGGCTGCCAATATAATACTAGGGAAACAAGTTACAACAGCACAGGGAAAACCAACCTTTCCCTTTTTACCTTAAAAGTCCTTGAAAGATGTTTCTACACTGTCTGTCTCTACTAGATGTAAGATTAGTAAGTTTTAGTGAAGCATCAGAAGGCATCCCTGATGCTTGAAAGAATTCCATTTGGAGTTAGCTGTATAACGTAAAGCTTTAAAAGGCAACTAGTAAAAACACTGACACCAGGTAAGCAAAAGTTTGGGCCACTCTGCTCTACAGCTATGTTAAAAAAAAAAAAATATACCACTGAAGATAGCTTTTCTAGGGTAAATTATCATTAATCCAAAGAGAAAAAAGCCATTACACTTACACGAAGTCATAGCTACAAGTTGGAGTAGGGGAAGCACAGAAAATGGAGTCTGTTAATACCATGCCTACTAACATGTGTTTTCAAATTTAAAATGTCTACAATTCATAATACTTCAGCATATACACAAATTTATCATCAATATACTGGCAAGCACTGCAGCCAGTAAGATCTTAATTAAATCAAGAATACTTGCAAAATATCACCAGAAAACATGTGAATTAGAGCACAGACAGAGAATGAATGTTCACCAAAGAATCTCTGAAATAATATTCTTGTATCGTACTTTGCATCCAATTTCAGGATATTTCTTTCTTAAAGGGTTTCCAAATACCTTTTCACTGAAAGGCAGCATGCAGATTCATTAAAATATTTCTCTATAATCATAGTTTGAATAGAAATACCCTGGCAAAGTTTAAATGTTAATGCTTTGCAGAATGCATCACAGACTGAGAAAGTGAAGAAAGGAAATATGTTTTTTAGATTATAAAAATCATCTGGAAATATAAAATTGCAACCTGAGGCAGATTTTCTACTTTTCTTCTAGTCTACTATCAGATGAGGATCTTACACAATTCTACATTCCTAAAATGCTTTTATTTTAGATAACATGTCTTGCTACTAACATTCTTTAACTCAGTAACCTTATTACTGGGAATCTATAAAAGTCCCATTTCTACAGTGACTTAAGAGAAAATACAAGGTACAACAAAAACAAACAACTAACCCTCTAATCCTAGAATGCACAAAACTATAAAAATGGGATAATCATGCACAGAGAAAATGCATGAGACGATTTAGTACAATTCTGAAATCTCTACTTTGGTTGCAGTAAGTGCTTGAAATCCCATTAGAAATCTGTGACAAACATTCAGTAGTTTTCACAAAGGAGTACTTCAGTATACAATGTTATCACCAGAAATGTTGAGTCAAACACACATTGCACCATCCAAGTTCCCATGCACACTTTAAGAATATGATAATAATAGAACTGAAGCCTGGCTACAAATACACAAAATTCAGGAGTAACTAAGTAAAGACATCTGAAGAGAGTTCATGAAGATGATGCAAAGAACATTAATATATTTTAATAGGAGCAATAAGGATAATGAAATGAGAGTACAAAAAAACCCATAATTTTTAAAATAACTAAAAATAATGCCTACTTATGTTACTCAGTATTCCTTAGTATTGTTTCCATTACTATCAGTCTAATTAGTCATTACCACATAAATACAAGGAAATGATCTATTTCACCCACATCTAGAATACTGTCAACGTAATAGCCTTCGTTACTGGTCTACACAGCCTTTACACCAATACAGCCTGAAGTTTTAAACAGTTTCAGGGGAAGTTTCAAGCACAGCTGAACCAGTGACAGTTTGAGTACCAAATATTTGCAGTATGACAGACACAGAGTTGATTGATAGTACTTTTCTGACAGCTAGTGATGAGAAAGAAACTTCATAAAAATTTTGTTCTCTCCATCTTTTACCAGCATAACCTATATACTGATGGAAGGAAAAAATACGCGCTGCCAAGCACAGAGGAAATCCCTGCTTTGAGACACTATTTCCCAAATTCAGGGGACTACACCGCATCAAATTTGTGTTTCAGTAAAAATTGAACATCCCTTGAAGTCAGTGAGACCAATTAAGCACCCAACACACAGGATATATCAGTTTTGCTGAGTCCTCGTGACCACTTATGTTCCCTTTTAACTATTAAAATTTTGTATATTAAATTTCAGCCCAGTATAAATTAGAAGCGTAAGTTCAAGAAAACAGAAGGCACTAATACAGTGTTAACCTACAGCAGAATTTCTTTATCATTGAGGGTTTAGCATACGCTTACCTGTACAGTTTCCTCCTTTCCAGAATACTTTCCTATTTGGGTTAGGCCACTGATGTAAATACCTAAAACAGGATGCAATGGCTTTGTTTCAATTTCTTGGTCATCTATATACAAAGTTACAATGTCTTCTGTTACTAAGAGACGAATTTGATGCCAGCCTTCATCAAACAATGTCTAAGAAAAGTGAAGAAAATAGAACTGCTTAAAACAAAATGTCTTCAATTTAAGTAAGGATAAAACTGCATTTCAGCACTTAAACTACTGTTAATGGTTGAGATGATCAATGGTCCATGTTTCATCATACAAAAAATTGTAAATTGTATAGGCAGAAAGTATTTGCCAAGTAATACCATAATTGAGAAGACAACATTTGGTAATTGTTCATTTCTGTTTCAGAATTATTTTTTAACTCACATAGATTTTTTTCAGTCTATGATCTTGAACATGCTCAAACATGTATTTGCTAAAAACATGAAGCCAGATGCCTTTTTTTCAGCAGTTGTATAATGTCTTGAACACTTTAGATCTTAAATCATGGTGAAAACTGATACTTAAAAGTCTACTTAATCTCTCATGGAAAAAAAATCTGAAAGATGACAGACATGATATTGGCAGAAAGAATCACAATATTGCAATGAATAAACCAAATATTACATTCATCACCTCACAAACATCAAGTTTCTAGAGCTCAAGATTTAGTTTAAACAAATAGCATAGTTCTAAAAGTGATAGAAAATGAGAGATCTCTTAACCTACTTTAGAAACTAAATTCAACATGGGAAGAAAGGCCACCTTCTTGAGCCAATCCATTAATGCCAAATACAATCTAGCTCTTTAGCCTAGCCTAGACTGTATCTTTTATATAGAGATTCATTCCACACCAAAGTGGTATACATAAGAGTAAACTAAAACATATATTTCTCAGTGTGTTATGTATCTTTGTTACCTTTTGCAGATATAAATAGAAATTAGTCTTACTTCACTTCATAGCATACACCTTTATATAGTACCTCTGCTTCTATTTTATTTTCATTTGTAGATTGGGGTTTTATTTATTTACAGTGATCCTCATTGCAAAATAAAATAAACAACAGATCAGAATAGAAAATGTTTCAAATTTTCCTCAGTAAAACAGATAAATGATCATAGAGCTTTATTAAATAAAAAGGTTCATTAATAGCATAGTGACATTTATAATGTGTTTACAGACATACAGCTCTAAAAAGGGCATAAAATTATTGTTCTCCATAACAGCAATGCAAGTGTGGAGAAACACAAAAATTAACAAAAGTCTTCCTTTCATGATGAAGTTCATGGATACCTGGAACTGCAAGAATATGAAAGAGTAAGATTAATTTGTCACCGGAGCTGCAAGAAACAGTTACATACAAATTTCTGAATTGACTTGAAATTTCCTAATTTTCTAACAATTTCCAGTAAAACAAAAATGCAAACGGTGCTTTCTTACAAAATAAAAAAAAAATTAAAAATTTAAAAAATTCCTTGTAAAATCATTGTAAAAAGGCAGAGGAAATTTGGAAAGAAAATGTAAAATTTTGTATCCAATAACAGAACAAAATACCTCTCCCGAGCAAAAGCTTAGTAGTTAAGACCTTCTATTGGATAGGAGTCCTTCCTTCTTTGAAGATTCATATTTCAAATTCCTTCAGCCTGATTTGGAGTAAGGATTCAAATGCAAGCTATCACTTCCCAGAAAAACTGAACTCACTTGGCTATGAAGCACTCCAGTGGTAAGTCTTTCCCACTTTTTGTCAGCTGAAGCACCCCCTTTTGCTCACTTAAACAATACTATCTGCAGTAGGAATGGGAACCTCTGGGCTGCACATGCCTATACTGCTACAAATGCAGGCGTAGAGATATTCAATCTCCTTCCCTCTCTCTCACCTGCAACTGAGAGAAACTTCCTTAAAAGAGTTGAATACTTCAGTGGAAATTATTGAAGAAAGATTGAATGAGAACCTTGAGATTACACTAGAAGACAATAAAATTGGTTTGCACAAAAAGGGGAATCCCTTGAATGAGAAAAATAGTAGCTGAAAGGAATTTTTAATCAGGAGAACTAGACAAATCCAGATTGAACTGTCTTTTCGTAAGCTGGTATTTACTCTTCTGGAGAAGAAAGTAACTTTGGTCATTGTGCATTTTCAAGAAATCTAGACACTTAACAAAAACTCTCTCTAAAAATGAACTATTTTCATTGGCACTTCCTACTGTCCATATCAAAGGCAGAAAACACTTTCCAGCATTTTCTATGGTAAGCAAAGAGCTGTGTCAAAAAATATCTCTGTGTGATCTTCTGACAATTACTGGCTGGAAACTACTGAGTAGAAAGCACCTGTAAACCATCTACAGTCATGATCACCATGGACACTCTGGAAATATGGATAAATTACCTCCCATCTATTTTTAAATGCCTAAGCAGCCAAAAATAAGACCACGCATTTTCAAAAAAGCATAAAGGGCAAACGACTAATGTGTACTTAAATGAGTATCCCAGCATGATGACTTACTCTTTACCTTTACACGGGGTGCAGCAAAAGTAATAACTTGTGTGCCATTTATTAAACTTGTTGTAGTGAATGATAATGTTTTCTCTTCTCCATTAACAGTGACTGCTATCTGTGGTCTCTTATCCAGACTCAGAATTCTCCACAAATCCCATGTCTTTTTTACTTTAAATCTTTGAGTGGAAACAAATACATAGGATGGAGGCAGACCTTCTGGAAACACATTCCTAAATAAGGATGAAGGGGAAAAAAAAAGACAGTACTTGAACTTAAGTATAAATCTTAAAATAAGTCTCACTTTAATCAAACAAAAAAAAAAATCATACTAACTTTAGAAGTGTATTTATAAATTTAAATACCTTGTCAATTCTGACAGATCAACACGTGAGGTTACTTCAAAAGCTTTTGCATTAGTGGTTGGTATTTGAATTCTCTTTTTAACCTTTTTCTTCACACCTAATCCTACAAGAATGTCAAATCCTTTTTCATCTCGAGCTGCCACTGGAATTCTTGTTGGACAAACAGATTCTGCAAAGTAACAAATGCAAATACAGTACAAAAATAATTACTTTAGAGAAGTAACTTCTCACTTACCTATTTTTTTGCCTTTCAAGAGATGAGAACTGAGAACTGCTGGTTCTCTCAAGTATAAAATGAGAGAAGTGACATGCAGAATCCTCCAAGACATGAAACAATAACACTGACTTGTGAAATTTACTGCAATTACATTCACATACTATTTTGAATTGTTACTCATAGTAGTTAAAAGGTATTACTATATCTGCCTAATAAAAAATTTAATTTAATTTCTAAAATTGTATGGTTTCAAAATGCTACAAAATTATAGAACTTACTTTCCACAATGCACTAACAATTTGAATTCATCCAGAATCCTCCCCAACTAAAAAATAGGGTTGAAAATAGACAAAGGTAGAAGTATCTACAACTACTTTTTTAATTTTATTTTGCTCAAAATGGACTCTGATCTATTTTGTCTGTTACACTGAAATCTGCTTGAAGCTATTCTCACTGGACAAATATTGTGTGAAGTATTTTCTGTGAAAACTAGTTAGCTGAATGTTATCTCTGTTTAATTCTCTTTACACAAACAATACTAGTCAGTGAACCTAAGTTGTCTAAAACCAAAAAAGTGATAGCAGAGTGAAATTTCATGCTAAAGCCAACACTGTATTAGAGTAATGAATCAATGAAAATAAAGACAACTTTTTATTAAAATCATGCTTAACAGTTTACTATAAATACAATTTCATAATTCATTTCCCATTGTTTCTTCAGAAAAGCACCAGTGCATAGAAAGGGAAGACATTAGGAATACATTCCAAAAAAAAGGTAGATAGTTCTCTCATCTCCATCTGGACCAGCCATGGGCTGGAAAACTCATTTTTCAGTGCCAGGGAATTATAATCACAAAAGGTCTGCACTGGCTTCCCTTTACAATACAAGCAACACTGCACAACTTCCCTTCCTAACCAACCCAAGAGCACTCAGAAGCTACCCTGTTCTGGTAGGGGAGGCAGGATATATAAACTCTAAGAAAATCCAGCTAGGTGTCTGCACAGAGTACCTATGGTAGGAAAAGACAATTCATCCTAAGGGAACATGCCACATGTGCTTGGGGCAGCAGTGAGAAGTCACATACTTTCCCCTTAGTTTTCTTTTCCTCCTCACCGCAAAACACCACCTGATTCCCAGACTGTTGTCATGGAAACATTTTCTAAACTCGTTTATTTCAAAGCTAAGTAACAGTCATACTGCCAGTATTAACACAGATTACAGATAATCATATACATTGACAAGAAAATGAATGCAAGACTCTCTTACCAGTTGCAGTATTAGAAATTTGATGTAAAAATCAAAAAATAATTGCAGAACGAGGATTACTTTATATGAGAGGGCCATTACTCTGGATCAGCACCAAACTATTCTAATCCAGTACAATACAAATCAAGCATGTGTAAAATTATATATTAAGAAACCATTCTTTATTTCCAATAGCACACTGAAGAATCAAAACACTCCCAGTAAGACAGATATTTTTGGGATCTTCTGAATCATCTTCAGGCTGGATTACTTTGGTATATATCCATTATACAGGATGGAGGAGTCAGTGGCAAAATTAAGAACTGTCTGTCATGAGAAATGGGGTTGTGTTTCCCATACACAATATCAGTCACAGCAGCTCTCTAGCCTACACTGAAACTTTTTTTTTCCCTTTTAGTTCTTTATCTAGTTTTCAGATGCTTTATTTTTCCTTCCTGAAGCATGAAATAACTTTTTCATGTTAATTCCCATTATCTAGCACAAAGGAACTTTTCTTAAGACTCCTCTAAAGATACTTCTGAGGACTGCATTAAGTAATGTTTTCAAATGTCTGACACACAATCTTTTCTGTATTTTTTTCTAGATAATATTAATACCACAGGAAAATTTGACTTCCAGGATAATTATTAAATATTCCTTACATGTTTAAGGACTCTTTCAGTCACGTTGTCCTTTCTGGGTGACAGGCTCAGCAGGTTTTTTCACCCTGACATACTCTAAAACCAACACCAGAGTTCCCAAAACGCACACCAGAGCCCTCCATCTATACAAGGCTGTTTGCTATAGCACTACTCACTACATGAACCACCAAACCTCAGCATCTTTTTTCCATAAAGGAAATACCACTCCTATGCTTTTATATCCATAGTCACATAATAAAGTTAAAAACACCATGAAGACTAGCGGGTTCTTTCAGACATTACAATAAGGACAATCAAGACACAATTGCAAAATATTCAGGCAGCTTGATGTTGATCACAGCCAACTCATTGCTGCTTTGCCCTCATGGTACTTCTCTTCCAGAGTCAGTGCGAATCTTAACAACATGAATAAAATAATCCACCATCCAAATATAAAATTTCCAGTTTACTAGTCTTTCAGTTCACCTGCTAAAGACATTGTGGTTAGAAGCTGCCAACTAGCTCTGATCACTCTTTGAGAGAGGCATCTCAATGCTAACACCAGTGAAGAGCACAACAGAGGAGTGGAAGCAAAGGGTCACTTAAACAGTAATTACACTTTTGTATATGTAGTCAACATTCACAAATTACTTCTGTGAGAGTTGTGTCAAATACTGCAGCTGAATTTCAAAGGATACTAGTTAATTCTGAAAGCAGAAAATCCATCTTGATGAAATGTAATGTCACTTCTTCTAAACTTTATTTAAGAAAATACTGTATTTGGGGAGTTTCTCCCACGTGCGGTTCTGTTAAGGAATTTAGTTGCACTAACCTGATTAATTTTTGGACTGACCACCTTGCTACATCAGCCACAAGGAATTATTATGATTTTCTTAAGTGTACCAAGAAATAAACACTATAAAACTCAACATAAGTATCACCATATTTTTTCAATGAACTCCATACTCAAAGAGAGAGCAAATGAAAACTATTTTTCATTCTTACTAAGTGCAGAAATATGGTACAACTGAAATATGACTTGCATCAATTCTTGGTGATAAAACATGTACAGAATAGCACTGATAGCGCTGTATTGTAGAGTCCTTCTGAGTGATATATTTTAGAAGTAAATTGCTATCTTTTCCATATATATATGGGAAAGCCATTGTTTTACAGTTATCAGAAAACTCCATGCTGTAATGCTGCTAGCATTCTAAAGCTAAAAAGTAATTTTACAATGTTGATCTTGGCTAATTCTTCTATAAAATCCTTCTAAAAAAGATAATAACAGATTGTTACAACACCAGCCACTTTTGCCAAGAGTTTTTCTTCTGGGTTTTTTGACGCATACTGGCGGAAGAACTCCTGTTTGTAATGACAGGCTATCCGCTCTACTGTCAAGAAGAAATGCTAGATTGTGGATTAGTATCAGCCGCACCTAGGAAAAGGATAACATAAGCCTTGTATTCTCAGCACTATGAAAATTGCTCAACTATTTTAGGGTTTCTAGACTTCATCAGCACAAAAAGACTGGGGGTGTAGGGCAAAATCCTACATGCTGACATTGAATGCACACTGTGTTAAAGCATCATATCTTCCCCAAATACACCTCTAGGTTTCATGGATAAAACAGTATTTTGGAAGTGATTTCTTCAAACAAGATCAAAATGAAAGATGGTAGTAAAGATTTTCAGATTACATTAATAATGCATTCTGCTTGTGAAATAAAGCAATATGGGTATAGAACTACATTCTGAACACCTAAAATATTTTATAATCAATAACTTACCTTCACAGAGTTTCTGCTTTATAACTTCTTTAATTCTTGATATTGCAATATAATCTTCAACATAAAATACGTAAGTTGATGAAGGTTTGTTGGCAATAGCTTTAAGTTCATCCTCCTCAATTTCTGAGCCAACACCAATAGCGAACAAAGTGATTTTATTTTTCCTTGCTTCTGCTGCTACATCTTTGACTTCATCTTGAGACTTTCCATCAGTGAGAACAACTGCTATTTTTGTTAAAAATCTTGAAGATTTTGCAAATAGATGGTCAAAGGCAAACTGAATAGCTCTTCCTGTTCTTGTATTTCCTCCCAAGTAGTGTATTGACTCCATTTCCCTGATGAGATTCTCATTGGATTCATGAGTTCCAAGGGGAATTTCAAGTACAGGGTAATCGCTGTACTGGACAACTCCAACTTGAATAAACTTTGGCCCTATGTCAAAATTTCTCGTAATATTGACAAGCCAGCTTTTGATTATTTCAAAGTTTTCTGGGCCAACACTGTAAGAACCATCTAAGATAAAAACTAAATCTGCCGGAGCAGTTCTGCAACCTTAAAAGGAAAAAAAAAAATTAAAAAAATCAAACATTTTCATGAACTCTTCCACCTTCTTCCACAGGAAATATTTTTCATATCAATTATTATTCATATTAGAATCCAAACTGACAAATATATTCAATTATTTTTTTAAAAAATCAGCAGTGTTTATTAGAGAAAACAAGATTATTTCCGTAAGCCACACAAATCCAGCTTGTTATCTGCAAACCAAACCATTTTCTGGTTTTACATTATCACCAGAAACGATGAAAAAATCAGGAATTCAATTGCTTAGCTGGCAGTCGTATTTCATGCAATTAGCAGAGGGGAAAACATTTTGGGTTTTTTCCATATCTCTTTGTCTGCGTAAAAACTCATTTTTGATAGCAAACCAAGTACACTGCAGAGAACGGCTATAGTCTGAATGCTCCAGAAATCAGCAGTAATATCCAATCCTTTTACAAATACATTTTAATTGACTTCTGACACTGCCACGTGGCACTTACAGAAGTAGTTATTATAAAATCCTGAGTCTTGATTGAATGTTGCTGGTAGCATATTCTGATTTTAGTAGAAGAAAAATGATCAGTGAACAAGCTAAACCTCCAGAATATAAAATCACATAAGCATTTACCAAACATAATGTAACTGCATGATGATTCAGACATGGATTTAGCTCTCCTAGCTGTAGTCACTTATAAACGGAGCTTTTAGAGTAAATTGCCAAGTACGTGCCATGGACTGACACAACCATTTCCATAGGACAGTCCTATCCATCTAACATACACATCATCAGATAGAGACAATAACTCTTAAGGGAAAGAAACACCTTCCATCGACTATGAAAGGAGCTTAGGTAACTAATACACAAGGTGCCAAGGAGATGGCCAAAACCAGGAGAGATTATTTTGATCCCATGGCACATGGGGCCATCGGGGTTGCTGTGTATTTGTATTTTCTGTTTCGTGAAAGGCTGGAGCTCCACCACAGGAAGGAGAACCTTGCCTTGTCCTTATACCTGCATATGGACACTTCTGGTTATATCAAGACTGGAGCTTCACAGTTCTATCTGCCTCCCTGAGCATTTACAAGACAATGTAGAGAAATAAAGATATTCCTTTCCTAAAGGAGAAATAAAATATTTAAGTTACTTATCATATATTACAAGATTTTCACCAGGAAAATTATACTGGAAAAAATCACAATTAGCAGAAGTGTACATGTGGACCTGAAAATGGATACTATAAATTTAAGGAATGCTTTGAAGTTGCTCTTATGTGAAATATAAAAATCAAGACTTACTAGCCCTTGTTTCCCCATCTTCAGCTGAGATGTAATCATGAAGTAACAGAATGAATAGCATCTGAAAACATGTCACTATCTGTGCCATGTGTAATGTATTTTCAGTCTTGAGATTAAACTAGATGGAAAAGAAAAGAAAATATAGTGTTGTTATATTACAAAACAAATCCAAACTTCTGTGTTATAAAACCTGTGCATGAGGAACAACTCTGAACCAAATTTGCAAGCCCAGATGTAAGGCCAGCCTGCAATGGATCCAAGACCCAAAGAAGCATGGGTCAGGCAGGTAAGCCCAAAATTAAGATTCTAAATTCAACAACACTCACTACTCTTTCTGTGGAAGCTGTTTTCACCAGGTCACATTTACATACTTCTCCTGCTAGATACATACATGAGCAGGTTATATACCCAGGGCCAGTGAACTACCTTTCAGTGTCACTAATTTAAGTATTCTACATCTAGCCAGAAGACTAAACATTCCTCTTCTCTCTACAGGCTCTGCTTTGTCAGTCATGTTAGTCTTCATCTATTACACATTAGTTTACCACTAAGGTTCTTGAAAATTGAAATGCCTTCCTTGAATAAGGTCAAGACTCCTTCCCTTTTCATATCTTTCTTCTAGTCATAAACCTTTACTTATGCCCACACCATAATGATCTACACACTCACCTAAAAAAGGTCAAATATAAATGCAAATATTTACTACACAACCAAATTAAACTCTGACTTTGAAAGCTGTGTATGTTTGTCCTTTTTACATTGCTAATCTTTAACTTTGAACTCTTCAGGGTAGAAAAGGTGTCCACCACATTACCAATAATACGGTACTGGCAGATGTTCTGAAACTTTTGTGGCACTGGAAAACACTAGTCTCTAAAAATACACCAAAACACAATTCAGCATGCCTCTTAAGAGCAGAAACAGGTAAATGGAAATAAGTAACCATTTTATTTTCCAAGACTAATCAAGTGAGTAAACTGAAGAAAATGCCATTTAATCACTATAACATACTGAGCAGCCATCAAGCAGCCATTGAGCTGTTATCTGCAACAAAATTCTACAGCAATTAAACATAGACCTTTCTCTTTAAAGATGTATATATCTGACATGATGTTTTTAGGAAAATGTTTTTAAGGGAAAAGGGATTACAGAGTTGTGGGGGCAAGACAATAACGAGTAGAGAGGTAGTAATTTCCATGTCATGTTCATTTCTGGTAGATTCATGGTCTGTATTTGCCAAATAGAGCATGTGCCACAAAATCATTAAGTTCATTTACTCTAGCTTTTCAGTCAGCTGCTTTGCTTTTTCCACTGTTTATAAAGCAGTCATTCCATTAAGACAAAAAAAAAAAAAAATCTCCACAAACAACCTCAAGAAATGCACGAAAGTCGATTTCCAGGACATACTACTCCTACCTAACGTAATCCCCCCCCCAAAATAAATCATTCAAAAATATAATTATTATGTTATTAAATAGCACCTTCAGATTACAGATAATTGCAAGGTAACCAAGGCAATACCATACTTTGTTATTCATCCACCTTGCATCAGAATGGGTGAGAAACCAGATGAAGCACTGGGGTCTATGGGATAGGGTATAAATGCACTCTTTCAATGATGCAGTACAAATACTGGGATGTCAACTTCATTTAAAGAGATCAAGCGACAGTTCCTTGTCCCAGCTACTTGAAAAAGGATGTGTTTAAACTATGAAATTGAGTAACAGGCATGTAATACATGATAAAATCTTACCATTGTAGAAGCAGACAATTTACGCTGATTATTTCAAACTTGATGGTTTGTAAGATTCATCATTTTAAAATCACTTTCAGCCTTTCCCATGGTGTTTACTGAAGAGTAAAACACATCTCTCACAATGCCAAATTGAGCAATACCAAAGAACATATGAAATTAAATCTATGTGGGAATTTGAATAGAGGACAACTAATGAAGGACTAAGGCATTCTTTGAGAATTTTAGAAAAATGTCCGCCTATAACTCAAAAAGACAGACTACTGTAGAGACAGTTGATATATACCCAAAAAACCCACAGTGCTGGCCCCAACAAACTATAAAATCCTTCAGATATTTCCCACCAACAACTCCCCAAAAAAGTTCGAAAAAAATGATAATAGTTGTGAAAAAGATGACCGAGGAAAATATCGCAACAATACATTAACTAGGTTTTGATGTTTGACATCTCTGTGGCTGTCTAAATGGTTATTTATGCAACACTCATAGAATTTATGTAAATGGAAAATAAAAAAAACACAGCAACTTAGTGACTTCACTGCATCAGTCTTCACTAATAAGAGTACAGGGACTGCTACCATTAATATTGCAGCTTTTTTTGCAAATAAAGCAGCACACTGAATCTATAAAATTATTTTAAGAACAGCATGAAACTTGTACGTGCTTCGTGCCACAAGCAAGGACACTTCAGGTCAGGCAGGGACACTGGGATTCTGCTCGCTGGCACAGCTCTCCTTTCACCAACCCCTGCAGAAGCCATTACTGCCTTCCTTAAAGGGCATTGCCCCCTTTCACCTCTGTTCACTCTTCCACAAACACTTACCCACTGGTACCTTC